CTAAATATATGCGTTAAAGCTTTTCAATTTCCTTTTCCACCATCTATTCAGTATGTTTCTTACCAGAAAAAATGAATAATTGACATTTGAAAATGCAATATTTGCTCTCGAGTTTCAGTTTCAAATAGATTATGGCTGCTCTTGATGCACATGTACATTACTCTGAGTCATGTCTTTGTAATTGAACATGGGTACAAGATATATTAAATTTTCCTTCCTCCTTTTATCTCCTCATTAGGCATGGGATCTTTGGACGAGTGGTAGGCCTCTAGAACTGATGGATCCTGGGCTACGAGATATTTCCTCTCCCTATGAACTGGTGAGATACATCAACATTGGCCTTCTTTGTGTTCAAGATCGTGCAAGTGACAGGCCGACCATGTCCAGTGTTGTCTCAATGCTGAGTAATGAACTCAACATTTTACCGTCCCCAAAAGAACCAGCATTCTCAAATGTGAGAGGCGTGGGAAATCCAAACACATGTCTTGGCAGCAGGGCAGAGAATTGCTCCGTAAATGAGATAACAATGTCAGATATGGAAGCGCGCTAAAACTTCAAACTTTGAACTTGTATTGTAATATTTTACGTACCACAATAAATATGCAACACAAGGAAATGAGACACTCGAACCTGAAATATGTATTAGGGACTGTAACTTACAGAAAAATGTATCCATTTTGTTTCGTTTGTAACAGTATATGATGGTGGCTTCTCCCTTAGAATCAAGTCTGGCTTAAACTTACCAAGGAAATTGATCTTTCCTTCCGAGTAAGAACAACAGGATATATATATATATATATATATATTATAAAATGAAATTACTTAATAAGAATTACATGGTAGAAAAAAATTTCAGCACTATTATTTATATATTATAAAAAAGCATATACTTAAAATACATGTTGTGACTGAGTAAAATGAACTATTAGCCATTTTCATCTATTAAATGCCTGTCTCATTTCATAAAAAAAAAAAGTCTGTCCCATTAAATTTGCCATCCAATAACACCGTTGATTGTTTACCTCTTAATACGGATCTTGACTCTCAATTGCCTGTTAATGCTGAAAGGGATCGAGGATCATTCAATCAATTTGGCCAAGCAAGTAGAAGTCCAGAATGGTTAACCCAGCTAACGTTCCTTTCTATGCTGTTCTCAACATTCATACCATGTTACTTTGAAAGCAAATACCTTGGTTGATATGGTGATACAGAAAATTACAGGACAATTCAATAAATGGCATATTCTAATACAACTGAGTTAATTGATTCAGTAAAGGTTGATTAACATGTTTCTATCATTGGCATTAATCACATTATATGACTATACTCTGTAAGCCACTACAAAAATTTTCTTTATTTTTAAATTTTAGTTTATCCTGATTGAGAATTTAATAATTTTTTTAATAATCTTTTAAAAAATTACAAAAAGTTTCAATT